ATAATATATAATATTAACCAATAATATAACCAATTCAATATTATATATATATATATATATATATATATATAATACTATATATATATAACCAATTGTTTCAATGCCATTGAAACTTGCGACCTGATCAGCAACAGGTTGGCTTTGACTAGCCAACCTTTCAACTCACAGCATAAATATTAACGTGGGGCTTGGCTTTGGCCTTCTTGATATCACCCAAGGGTCTGAAACCCAGCTGCTGTAGCTTGATAAAAAATCTCAGCTCAATAACTCACTTTCTTTTTACTATTCCAGCTGCCATTGAAGGAAATCTACACTTCAGCTGATTTTTGGTGGTGAGGATTCTTCATTCTTTTACACCCCTTGGCTGGCCCCAAGCCAAGCTTGTAGATCTTGCCATTCTATTTATTTATTATTTGACTATTGTTATTCTAAACAACAATATCTTTTGTTTTGGCTAAACTTTGTAGAATTGAGTCCCACTTGACTTGGTTTGGCTTGAATTTGGTGACCACATCCAAACATTGCCCCCTTGATTCCTTGGCCTTCAATTGGGGAAAGGGTAAGTGAATCAAAACTCTCATGACTTTTCATTTTTCTTCGGATGTTTCAATGTCATGCTTCTCTGTGGCAATTTATTGTGTTTGAATTAAATTGATGTTTAGGGAGAAACCCTAATCAATTTTTAAAAAACTTTTCAACTTCATAACCGTTGAAAAACCTAGGCATTATAAATACCAATTTGGCTCCAAACATTTCTTCATACTCAAAACTCCATTGCCATTGCTCTTAGAAAACTCTCTCCCACCAAACCTACACTTTGCTCCCTAGATTCACCATTTGATAGGCCAAAAACCATTCAAATCATCATCAAATCCGTTATTTTGCGAGTTTTCAAGTATGTTAAAGTCTTTTCCGGTTGATATTGTTGTGATTTTGATGAATGGTGGCCATTGGAAGCTCATTTTTTAAACTTTTGAAAGTTTGAATGTTCTTCGTGTTCTTGGCAAATTTTTGCTTTTTTGCCACTCTACTTTTCTTGATTGAAATAATATTTGTGTTTGTAGGATGGATCCAGAGTTGAAGTCCATCATCTCTCACTTGGCCAAGTTGAAGAAGGCCATGGCGGAAAGTGATCAACAACCCGAGGAAGCCTATGCCATCAAATTACAAGGAGATGTTCCAAGATATGTTCTTGGTCCTTTGTACCCACTTCAACCTCCAGATGAAGTGGTGAAGATTTGGGCCGAGCAAAGTGATGATCCTCCACCTTTAACCATGGAGTTCGACTGGAAATCAACTTGGGAAGCCCTCTGACCTTTCAAAGGTTGGCCATGCAAAACTTCTGAGGTTGATTGTGTGGCTAAGAAGAAGTCTAAAGCCAAGAAACCCAACTCAGTGGCCGACGTTGATCCTAAGAGAAGTTGGTATGACTGGTATAGAGCTTTGGAACCAAAACTCAAGACTTCTTGGCAAAAAAGTGGGATCTATGATGTCTTGGCTCTTTGCGCCTCCGGGGACTTTCCTTGTGATCGTTCACTTATCATCGCAGGCCTATGTTTTTGGTCATCCTCTGTTAATTGCATGAGGTTACGATTTGGGATGATGACCCCCACTCTACTTGATCTGGCGGCTATCGTCGGCCTTCGTCCACATGGTGTGGTTTATTCGGTGGTCGACCTTCCGGAACCCCTTTTGAAGCCGGACTACGACAAGCCCAACAAGAATTTCACTAACTGGATCAAGATCCACTTTGGCTATACCGGGTCATCATCTGGTGCTCCGATAGGTTCAACAAATGGTGTATCTTACACAGAGCATGTAGCATTTCTTCAGATGTGGCTATGCAAATTCTTGACTTGCTCAAAATCTAGCCAAGTCACCAAAGAAGTCCAACCTTTGGCTGAAGCTCTTGCAGATGGCCAAGCAGTGGCCTTGGGTCCCATATTTTTGGCCTACCTTTACAGATGTCTTCGTGATATTGTCTTGCCCAAACCCATGTCATGCAACCCTTCAAGCCCGATTTGGTTTTTTCAGCTGTGGCTTCAAGTTTACTTCCCGGAGTTGGGTCCAACCAATGTCACATTCCGGGGTGACTCGCTTCTGGGAAAATCGATTGCTAGCCTCCCCTTGCCCAAACACCACGTTGAGGATTGCTTCCGATTTTTCTACGGATGTTCGCAGAGGTCACCTAGTGAGTTATACATGTGCTTAGATCATCGTTATCCAGGTTATTTGGCATTGGACCTTGCCAGTGTCCCCATACTTGGGACCAAGGAAGAACGACGAGAACTTTGGGCAAGCATCTTAATCAGTTGAGATCTTCCTTATGGCCTTGCATTGAACAAAGGGAACCATTACCCTTGCAGCTGCGAGGTTTATTATCCTGCTGCCGTTGGTCGTCATATGGGTTTTATTCAGGGTGTTCCATCTCCCATGGTTGACTCCCATAACTATTTCTTCTCATGGAGAGTCTTTTTTAAGGAAGTAGAAGAGGTGAATTCCGTGGTAAACTTTAATCGTGAGCTGGTCAAAGTTTTCAACTTCCAGACCCGCGACCCCGAATTTGGCATCACCGAATCTTTCAAGGCTTGGTGGGGAAAAATATCAGCCACTTGGTTTTCCCAACCCTCTGAGGTCCATATGGAGAAGATTTTCTGGGGTTGTGCTTGCTCTTCGACTTATTATAGTTTTAAACAAGGTAAACTTTTAGTCTTTTTTGTTTTTTTATATATGCTAGCCTTGACTATTAGTCCACTAACATCTTCACCTTTTGCAGCCACAAAAGAGGCGAGTGCCGACTCCAATCGTAGTCAAGGTGAGAAGAGGCCACTTCCCTCCACACAAGGTAAGCCAACTTTTGTTGGACTTCTGGCCATTTCCCATATAATCTTGGGTGTTTTTAGAAGCCAACATTTTCGATGTTTTCTTTCAGATGTTGGAGAAGATCGGAACTCCTCCGGCTATGATGTTGAGATTCCACTAGCGAATGACACAATCCTAGCTCGACCAAGAAAGATCCTGAGGAACCCATTGCCCCCAGGTACGATCCTTTAAATAAAAATAATAATAAAAATAAAATAAATTTATTAATTAATTTATTAAATAATTATAATTGAACTTTGGCCTTATAGGCTCGAGTAGGATAACAGAGCAACCCAACCCCACTCACTCGACTATGGCCACTCACTCAGCCGTTTCTTCTTCGGCCATTCCGGTAAGTTTCATTCTCACTACATTTTCCACTTTAATCTTGGTATTTTCTCAGCTTGCGGTTTAAATGTAGGAATCTTGAATTCCCATATTCGAGGCTGAAGTTGGTGGACAGACTGCTACTTCTGAGGCTGAGATTATCGATGCCAACCTTTCCACCAACCCGGATATTATCATGGCTGAGACTCAACAAGTCATCCAGCCATCAGGAAGTCATGAGGCTGATCATGGCGTCATTGATGACTCTTCCCATATTCCAGATCATCAGGTAATCTTGGTATTTCAACTTCATCGAATTTCTTTTACTTGACAACTTGCCCCCGGTCCCTTTATTAAAACTTTGAACCGTTTTAGGTAGCTTCTCTTAGTCTTGAGACCACCTTGGTTGACCCAACGACAATTAGAGATGAAGTTCAAGTTTTACCAGATCACACCTCAGATCTTCTAGACCCAAACAATCATTCCACAGATGGTCAGATTTTTCAGGTAATTCCACATGCTTCATTATTTTTTACATATTCCAAAGTCTTTCGAAAATTTACATTTTCTCACTTTGGTGAATGTTGTGGATCATCAGACTACTTCAACCGATCAGACGGCCATTGCCAGTGGTGTACTTTCGGCCATCTCAGTCGCATTGAGCGACGGGCTTGCATCATGAATCCCTCAGCCATCATAAGATGTGTCCATACCTATTCTGACAGATCATCGACATGAGGTATGTCTTGACATCTTGCTTTTCAATGCTTAAATATTCTCTCAACTCATTCGATCTCATGCTAGGTTGGAGAACCTATTATGCCCGATCCCCCTTCCGTTCAGGCATGTACAGCTGGAGCTTTGGTTGAGGGTGGCGGTGATCAACCACCATCGACAGACCAAGATGACCTTATTCAGTCGCTTTTGGACCATGTAAGCATCATTTGCCAATCCCCTCAATTCTTTTTTCCATAATTTGGGACTTCTGATATTCATATAATCTAATTGGCAGGCCCCTGGCGACATTTTTGCTTATCTCCATCATTGGGATGCTTCAGCCACTACTGCGAAGGCTTCCACTCGTCATGCCACTTCTTCGACTATGGCTGTGGTGCTTTCAGATCCCGCAGTTGAGGCCCTACTTCAGTCCTACAGAGATCGAGATTGCATATCCTTGGCCGACCAGGATGAGAGAGACAAGGTCAAAGCCGCTATTGAGGCATTGGTGAGCTCCGGCTTTTTTCCTGACCAGACTACAGTGCGTACGATCATGCATCTCTTTGGAGAGGTGGCGAGATTGATTCCCCTTCATCCTTCCCTTCGAGAGGAACTAAGGGTAGGCGAGGCCCTAGAGCAGCATATTGCTTCGACGAGTGCCATTATTAGGCAGAAGGTCGAGCTTGGTCGTAAGAAAAGGCATGAGGTCGGGAATATTGATGAGCAGATCAGGCAGCTTCAGGAAAGGAGGGCTGCCATTCTCACCGAGGTCTCCGAGGATATTCGGAGTTATGGGCCTCTTGAGGCTCAACTTCGCCAGGACTCAGTTGCGGTGAAGTCATTTGAGGCGAGGAAGCTACCCATCATATCTGCCTTATCCGCTGGAGAGAGCGCATGTGAGAGCTTCAGGACTGCTCTTCGTAGCTTGTTTCCCGATGTTTAGACATGTATTAGGCCATTAGTTGGCCCTTTTTGTATCTATCTAGACTTACATTTTGTTGTTGTCATATATGATAAAGCTAGCTTTTTTCAATCCGATGGATGTTTTGGCCATTGCTGGGCCTATTTTGTAGATGGCTTAACTGACATATCCATATATACGATGTTGTTCGGGCTATTCATTTTGCTTTACTTCAAAAGTCTTACCCGTATAACAAACTAACTTTACCAAACCCGAATGTTCTGGTAGACTACTTCTCCATCATCTCCCAAGCTGTAGGATAATATTTCTTCAGAAATCGGCCATTAATTGGAGCATCATGGGCTCGCCCATTTCGGTCACTTAGCTTATAGGCTCCTTTCCCTAAAACTTGGTGGATGAGGAATGGGCCTTCCCAAGTCAGAGACCACTTACCAAACCTGGAATCCTTAGATCCAATAGGAAGGATGGTCTTCCACACCAAATCTCCAACTCCGAAACTTTTGGCCTTAGTTCTCTTGTCATATGCTCGGGCCACCGTTTCCTTTTGCGCCCTAAGCTTGTCCAAGGCATCCAACCGTACTTCATCAAGATCGTCCAACTCTTGCGTCATGGCTTGGTTGTACTCATCCTTACTCCATTCGCCATGACGAGCCACCCTCAATGATCTTACGGATATCTCGAGGGGGAGAACGGCATCATGGCCATATGTGAGGGCGAATGGTGTCGTTCCGGTACCAGACCTTCTTAAGGTCCTATACGCCCATAGAGTATTAGAAAGGAGGGAATGCCATTCTCTGGGATTATTCTCTATCATTTTTCCCAAGATCTCCTTTATAACTTTATTGCTGGCCTCAGCTTGGCCATTCGATTGAGGATTGTATGGAGTGGATTGAACTATTCTAACCCCCCCAATTTCTTGCGGCTGCTTGGACAGCCTCCCCCATAAAAGCCGTTCCTCGATCAGTCATGATAGATTTAGGTAGGCCAAAACGGTGGATGATGGTTTTCTCGATGAATTCTAACACCTCGGCTTGGGTTACCTTCTTTAGCGGGACGGCCTCCACCCACTTGGTGAAGAAGTCGGTGGCCACCAAGATGTACTTGTGGCCTTTGGACGACTCTGGGTAAATTTGACCGATCACATCCATCGCCCAACCTTTGAAAGGCCAAGCCTTCACAATGGGATTCATAGGTCCAGCCGGAACATGTTGAACCGGACCATGCCTTTGACAATCTTGGCATCCCTTGGCATACTCAATGCAATCTTTGAGGATAGTTGGCCAATAATAGCCATGTCTCCTTAAAAGCCATCTCATCTTGATGCCGGCTTGATGAGCTCCACATATGCCTTCATGGACTTCAGTCATGGCTATAAGTTGTTCTTTCTTGCCCAAACACTTCATGAGCAAGTCGTCGGAGCCTATGCGGAAGAGTATCTCGTCCCTTATCACATAATATCGAGCCCTCCGCCGAACTTGTTGGCTATGTGGCCCGTTTGGGGCTTTCAAATAGGATACGATATCATGCCTCCAATCATCCGGCGTTACGGTTAGCACCATGACCTCCGGTGAAATCCCTTTTTCAAAAACAGAAGAAAGAGATCGTTTCTCTACCTTGAAAGTTCTTCAGAGAGTCCTTCGGAGATTTATACTCCTAATGCTAATTGGGCCATGGCGTTGGCCTGAGAATTGTGTTCCCTCGTTAGGTGAGTAAGAGTCACTTCATCAAGATCCTCGATCATTTGGCTGGCCAAAGCATGATAGCCAAGCAAGGCTTGGCTGGTCACCTTGTAATCTCCAAATAGTTGTTTCAAAACCAACATTGAATCCCCAAGAATTACGACATTGTTTATTCTGAGTTCTCTCACGATCTCTAACCCAATGATCAAAGCCTCATACTCGGCTTGATTGTTGGAATAATCAAAGTCCAACTGGAATGAATATCCAGTTCGGAAACCTTGGGGTGATTCTATGATGATGCCTGCTTCACCCATGTTTGAAGTTCGAGATCCATCGAAATAGAGACGCCACGGGAATAGACTCAACGTGTTGACCAAAAAATAGTCCATGTCTTCTATTTCGACACAAGGGTGAGCGGCCAAGAAATCAGCCAAAGCTTGCCCCTTGACGGCCAATTGTGGTACGTAACGAAAAGTAAACTCAGCCAAGGCCATCGTCCATTTTCCTATTCGACCTCTAATAATTGGCCGAGTAAGCATGTATTTTATCATATCAGTCTTGGCAATTATATGAACCGTGGAAGGCAACATGTAGTGCCTCAACTTGGTCGCTGTGAAATATAAAGCCAAGCAAAGTTTTTCAATCGGTGAATACTTCCTTTCGGTGGCCGTTAGAATCCGGCTAAGGTAATACACCGCTTGCTCCTTCTTATCATCGTTGTCTTAGGCCAAAAGGCTTCCAATGGAATTTTCTGAGGCCGAGATATAAAGCTTCAAGGGTCGGCCTCGTTTTGGTGGGATGAGAACCGATGGTTTGGTCAAATATTCTTTGATAGAATCGAAAGCCTTTTGGTGGACTTCATCCCACCTAAATTTCTCTTCCTCCTTGAGTTTTAGCAAAGATGAAAAAGGTTCAACCTTCCCGGGTGAATTGGCTATAAACCTCATAAGGAAATTTATTTAGCCTAGCAAGCTTTGTAACCCTTTCTTATTTTTCGGGGGTGGCGCATCAATGATGGCCTTAGCCTTATTCTTGTCTATCTCGATCCCCATTTGGTGCACCAAGAACCCTAGAAAGTTTCCAGCTGAAACCCCAAAGGCACACTTCTTTGGATTCATCTTCAATTGATGTTTTCGCATTCTCTCGAAAGCCGACCGAAGGTCAATCAAGTGACCTGGCCTTGACTCCGACTTCACAACTACATCATCGATGTAAACTTCCAAGTTTCGACCGATCATGTCATGGAAGATGGCATTCATCGCCCGTTGATATGTGGCTCCGGCATTCTTGAGGCCAAATGGCATCACCACATACTCAAAGGTTCCAATAGACCCGGGACATCTGAAGGCTGTTTTGTGGATATCCTCCTCGGCTATGAAAATTTGATTATAGCAAGAGTGTCCATCCATAAAGGATAAGATTTCATGCTTGGTGATGAGTACAAAATTAATACAAGTTTTATCCTTAAATTTATAGTTGTTAGTATTTTCTTTTGTTTCATGTAAATCTATTAGAGTATTTTTATTGTTTCATTCCAAATCTTGTTTTTATATTTAATGAGTGGTTATTTGTAGATATTAAGTGTCTTCCACCAATGGCATGAGGAGGAGGAGGAATAAGTAATGTGTTGCAAGAAAAGAAGATAGAAGAAAGATGAAAATGTGTGCAGCCATGGTGAAGGAAATATGCTCAAGACAACGTGTGGTTCAATGCCAAATGAAAAGAAGAAGCAATCAATTGTATCTATGCTCTAGGACATGCATGCAAGCTTCCATCATTGAAGAAATAAAGAAAGAATGAATAAACAATGAAGGAGAAGTTCAAATTG